GCAGACACGCGAGCACCTAGAGGGCAGCCTCACCAGTACCTAGGGCAGCAGACACGCAAGCACCTAGAGCTGCAGCCTCACTGGTGCAGATGCCCGGGTCGGGCGGAACACGCAGGTACTGGGCACTCTCTCCTGTCAGAAAGTAGAGTAGAAAGTTTAGAACAAGAAAGAGGGGTTTCACTAGCAAGCAGTTGGATACATATAGCAAACCCTAATTGGGCTGTACTCACTATGGAGTACCCCACTGCAGGCTAGACAATTATAACATTCTGACACACCCACTAGTAGACAACACATACATTGCAGTGAGAAAAGCATCAAAGTCAAGAGCATAGATATCAATGTTCTTCTTCATCAGGTCAGCCCAGCGGGGCATCTCAGTGGCAGCAGGGAACTGAGTGCGCCAAGCGTCGTCCAGGCGGGAAAAGCAGCGCTGCGTGGTGTGCGCCCTCCCACACGTCTGGCCAGTGCGGTCACCAGTGCGGATGACGTACGTGCAGCTAATGCCACCCCCCCCCCCGTGCTGAGAGTACCACTCACGAACCTCCTAGGACGACGGAGTGTGCTGCTGGCTCTGGCCACCGCCAGTGCCTCCACGACCACCACCGCCGCCGCCACCACCTCGACCACCACCGCCCCTGCCGCCTCCGCGTCCACCGCCTCCCCAACCACCGCCCCCACCCCGGCCACCTCCTCCGCTGCTGCCGCCTCCACCCCCACCACTGCCACTAGCCCCTCCAGCCCCGCCACCACCCCCACCGCCGCCACCGCCCCCACCCCCACCTCCCCCGCCGTCACCTCCACCTCCCTTGCCCCCTTTGCCCTTGCCGCTGCGGCGCCAGCTCGGAGCGGACGCAGTCCCGACCTGCTCAGTACTAACTAGGTCGACAGCAGCAGCAGAGGCGACAGAGGGGAGAAGGGGGGAAGGGGAACACCCCTCGAAGAAAGGGGTGCGGGGGTCGCCACGAGAGGCAGCTACAGCGACTATGCTAGTCTCTGCTGCAAGCAGTTCCTTCTCGAGCAAGTCTATGGTGAGCTCAGTGGGGGAGCGAGCGAGGAAGTGGTCCCTGACCGCACGAAGAGAGTCAGGGAGACGGGTGACAAGGTGGTAGAGAGTGAGCCAGAGCGGGGGGGGTGGGTGGCAAGAAACTCAGCGGGCATAGCGGCACGGAAGCGAGCCTCACTAGTGCGGAGGTGCGTGGTGAGGTCAGCGACTGTGGCGAAAGCGGACAGGTCTAGGAACAGGTAGGGAAGCGAGAGACGGCCTAGCGCAGCAGAGGCAGGTGAGGAGTAGCGTGCAACTACAGCAGTGTACAGTGCCTGCGCAGTTTTGTGCTGGCCAAAGTGCTCGCGCTCATCTACCGGCAGGGAGTTGCGAATAGCAAAGCGAGCGTGGGCGTCACGAGTCTGCCACTGTGAACGGGCAGTACTGTCAGCAGTAGTAGCAGGGGCAGCAGCATTGCCTAGTGCGTGATCGTACAGCGAGATATCCTCCTTGGCAGTGAGCTAGAGGAACAGGTGCAAATCGTCTAGCCAGGTGTCAAACTTCAGTGGGCGGCCATCAGCATCAAAAGCAAGCACAGCAGGGCTAGCCATAGTAGCAGTAAGAGCAGTAGTAACAGCAGTAGTAGTAGCAGCAGGCAAAACCCTAAAAGCAGCAGGCAGCACGACTCAGGTAGGGCGCCTCGGTCCAGAGGGGGCTGCTCAGTACGGGGAGGGCGGCGCGGCTCGGTTCGGGCGGCGCGGCTCGGCTCGGGCTGGGCGGCTCGGTTCGGGCGGCTCGGTTCGGGCGGCTCGGTTCTGGCGGCTCGGTTCTGGCGGGGCCGTGGCTGTCGCGTGCGGGGCTGCCGGGGCTGCTAGGTGGGGCGCGCGCGGGTTCGACGGGGCCGACGGGGCCTCTAGGTGGGGCGCGTGCGGGGTCGACGGGGCCGACGGGGCCTCTAGGTGGGGCGCGTGCGGGGTCGACGGGGCCGAGAGGGGCCGCTAAGGGGCGGCGCGCGGGGCCGACGGGGTCGTAAGGGGCCGCTACGGGGCGGCGCGCGGGGTCGACGGGGCCGTAAGGGGCCGCTAAGGGGCGGCGCGCGGGGTCGACGGGGCCTTAAGGGGCCGCTAAGGGGCGGCGCGCGAGGTCGATGGGGCCGTAAGGGGCCGCTAAGGGGCGGCGCGCGGGGTCGACGGGGCCGTAAGGGGGGCCGCTAAGGGGCGGCGCGCGGGGTCGACGGGGCCGTGAGAGGGGCCGCTAAGGGGCGGCGCGCGGGGTCGACGGGGCCTTACAGGGTCGCTAAGGAGGGGCGCACGAGGGCGCTGGGGGGAGGCGCTCGAGGGCGCTCCGACAGTAGGGCGCACGAGGGCGCTAGTAGGCAGTCAGTAGTGGTGGGCCCTAAAAAATCGGTCCTAGCGGAGGACCTGCTCTGAAACCATGTCAGAATCAAAGAAACAAGAATGGATGAACTAGCACAAAGTTGGGTACAAGTAGGAAACCCTAAGTTTGTGTACCCCCTAAGGCTAAACCCACTATAGCCTACACAATGTAAACATGCAATGTTTGACAAAACAAACTGGCATATGATAACACCAACATAACGCGTGTGAGCTAAGGAGGGATAGGGCAGCAGGACGGGGCCAGTGGAGGTCAGGGAAGGCGGTTTGGGGGTTCCTGTGGAAAAAGGGCTAAGGGCAGCAGATTGGCAGAGAGGGGAGGACAGTGAAAAGGGGTACGGGGTTTCTACGAGAGAAAGGTAAACGACAGCAAATATGGGGAGAGTGCAGGCCAGGGAAGGTGAGAGTGGGGTTCCTGTGAAGGAAAAGCATAGGGCAGCAGAACCTGGGAGATGGGAGGACAGGGAAGGCAGAGGTTGCTGTGAGGGAAACGGTACCAAACGTGGGAAGAATGGAGGCCAGGGAAGACAAGGGCGGGGTTTCTGTGAAGGAAAGACATAGCGCAGCCAAAATGGGGAGATGGGAGGATAAGGGAGGCAGTAATGATGTTGCTGTATGGGATTTAGGTTTAGGGAAGCAAATATGGGGAGAGGGGGGGACAGGGAAGAAATGAACAAGATTGATGTGAGGGAACGCAAAGGGAAGCTAAACGAGGGAGAGCGGAGGCCAATGATGGTAGTTTGCGGGTTCATGTGAGGGAGAGGCATAGGGCAGCAAAAATGGGGAGAGTGGAGGACATCGATCGCGAGAACGGGGTTCATGTGAGGGAAAAGCAAAGGGGGCCAAAACCGGGGAGAGGGCAGGGCAGGGAAGGCGGGTATGCTATTGGTTGTTGTGAGGAAAACGCGAAGGGCTGCAGAACAGGGCCGAGTTGATGCCAGGAAAGGTGGTTTGGGGGTTCCTGTGAGGGACAGGCTAAGGGCAGCAGAACAGGGGAGAAGGGAAGAGGGGGTAAGATGAGGACAGGGTTCCTGTGAGGGAAATGCTAAGGGCAGCAACCTGGAGGAGAGGGGAGGATAGTGGAAGGGGGAACGAGGTCGATGTGATGGAAATGCAAACAGCAGCCAAAGTGAGGAGAGTGGTGGAGGCTATGGAAGGCAAAGCCAAAAGGGGAATATGGGAAGACACGGATCGTAGTAATGATGTTGCTGCGAGGGAAAGGCAAAGGGAAGCAATTATTGGAACACGAGAACAAAATTCCTGTGAGAGAGTATAAAGGGCAGCAAAACCGGGGAGAGGGCAGGACAAGGAAGTCGGGTACGGGGTTGTTGTGAGACAAACGCCAAGGGCAGCAGAACAGGGCCGAATGGAGGCCAAGGAAGGTGGTTTGAGGGTTCTTGTGAGGGAAAGGCTAAGGGCAGCTGCCCTGGGAAGAGGAGAGGGGGGGGTAAGGTGGGGATAGGGCTCCTATGAGGTAAAGGCAAAGGGTAGCAAATATGGGGAGATGGGAGGACAAGGCTGGCAGTAACGGTGTTGCTGTGAGAGAAAGGCAGAGGGAACCGCAATGGGGGAGAGGGGTGAACAGAGAAGGCGAGTACGGGGCTGCTGTTTTGGGAACGGCAAAAAGGCAGCAAAAATGGGAGGGAATGAGGGAGAATAAGGGAGAGGGGAGGTCAGGGAAGGCAGATACGCAGTTGCTGTGATGGAAAGTCAAAGGGTTTTGAACGAGTGAAAGTGGAAGCCAGTGAAAGGTGTTTGGGAGGCAAAAGGCAACAGAAAAGGGGAGAGGGGAGGGCAGGAAAGGGGGGGTACTGGATGGCTGTGAGTGAAAATGCAACGGGTATCATAGATCTCAATTACCACTTACCCGGCTTGTACTTTGTCAGAAACTTGCTAACATCTTCGGTTCCCATCACCGCCCGTTGCTTGTCCGGTCGAGAAATGCGTAAATCGAACACATTAATGACCGAACCGCGTCCAGTCGTCAAGCAGTCATTTCGAAAGTCTTGGAGCTGGTCTCGGATGTAACCACGCCGAACGAGATCGAACTCATAGACGTGGATCAGATTCCACTTCTGCTGCTGCGTGGTGTACCCCACTGCAACTTCCATAGCCACGAGAAGACAACTTCGGGGCGGCCAATAGTCGACTCGGTCGTTCGGGGTTTGGAACATGAGGATGTCCATGGTTTTTTTCATCACAATCTGCGAAATAGGGTGCATGGCAGTAGACTATGTACTACATAGACAAGGACCAGTGGTTTGCTGAAACTAGAATCAAGACAAAGTTTCAATGAATGGGGTTTAGGGTTTAGGGAAAGCTTAGGTAGAAAGGCAAGTTTCAAGGACAAGATATGACAAGATAGGACAAGATATGACAAGTTATGACAAGAAATGACATGATATGACTATGGTTTGCTGAAACTCGAATCAAGGCAAGTTTCAATGACTGGGGTTTAGGGTTTGCTGAAAACTCGAATCAAGGTTTCAATGGCACACTAACATCTCACTTACAGTAAGTCCGCCTTTGTGAGGCGGAACCTTCTTCACAGCGTCTGCAAGTTCAGCCGCAAATTACTCGTACTCGGGCGCCACGTTGTCACCACACACAATGTCGCCGTTCTAATAAGCATTGGCGATGGTGCGACCAACGGCCAGGCGTGAAGACAAGTAGACATGCGGCACAATTTCAGGATCCACAGCCACTGCTCCGGCTGGTGCTGCTTCGAGCGCAGTGGTCCCATCACCTGCGGGGCTAACAGTTCGGGGAGAAGCTGACTGGTTTAAGCGGTGGAGGTAGTTGTCTTGGTTCTTTAGAGCCACATTTTCCCGCTCCACCTTCCGGAATTGGGCAGACAACGCCTCAAACTCAGCACGCGTGATGACATCACCTGCAGCAACCACTGGAGCGTTGTCAATCCCGTCAGTTGTACCTTCTACACCAGCATAGGTGGCTGCCGCAGCATCGAGCCCGCTGGCACCAACAACCGGAGATGCATTCCCCGCTGCCGTGTTGTTGAAGATCTCATCGAATTCGTCGCCACCCTCTCCGTACTCCTCAGAGTCGGAATCCACGTCGCATTGCATGAAGACCTGCTGTGAAGGGTTGGCAAATCCGGAGTAGCGGTGGCTGTCATTTTCAGGAACAACTGGGGTAGGCAGCTGCTGGCCAGAGGTGAAGGTGGTGGCTCCAGCAGTTGCGGGGACAGGAGGAGAGTGCAGCTGCTGGCCAGAGTTGAAGGTGTTGGTTCCAGCAGTTGCGGGGGCAGGAGGAGAGTGCAGCTGCTGGCTAGAAGTTAAGTTGTTGGTTCCAGCAGTTGCGGGGGCAGGTGGAGAGTGCAGCTGCTGGCCAGAAGTTAAGTTGTTGGTTCCAGCAGTTGCGGGGACAGGAGGAGAGTGCAGTGCTGACTGGGGATGCTGCTGCTGCCGCCATTGCTGCTGCTGCTCTTGTTGCTGCATCAACTGCAACTGTTGCTGCAGCACTGACTGTGAATACTGCTGCGGCTGCTGTTTCTTCTGCTGCTGTGCCGTCTGCCTCTCGTCCAGCTGTGCTGCTCCCATTGCCCCCCGATCATGTGCACGTGATTGCCTGACCCTGTGCAGGAAGAGATTCGGATGTGCCCTGAGAGATCGGGCTGGGGTAGATGCAAGCCCGGCCACATAAGGAGCACCAGTAACACAAGCAGCATTGGCAACACCAGCAGCACCAGCAACACCAGCAGCACCGGCAAAACCAGAAGCACCGGCAAAACTAGCAGCACTGGCAAAACCAGCAGCACTGGCAACACCAGCAGCACCGGCAAAGTCAGCAGCACTAGCAACACCAGCAGCACCGGCAAAACCAGCAGCACCGTCAAAACCAGCAGCACCGGCAAAACCAGCAGCACTGGCAAAACCAGCAGCACCAGCAACACCAGCAGCGCCGGCAGCACCTGCAGCACCGGCAATACCAACAGCACTAGCAACACTGGCAGCAGCTGCCAGGCTAATAAGTCCACTACCCACACTTGCAACTGCAGCAGATATACCAACCATACGACCCGCAGCACCCGACGAATCACAAGCAACATCAGCGCCACTTGCACTGCTCACACCACCCGCACCAGCTGTGCTACCCACACAGGGCTGGGAATCAGTGGTTGAAGCAGTGATGACTGGTGGTTCCAGGGGAAAAGAGATGCTATGGCTTCGAATCATAAGAGATGCAGGTTCGGAATGAGGCATGGGTTGAGGCCCGGACCAAGGAGGGCTGGAAATCTTGGACCTTGTCTCGTCTCTTTCCAAGTCTGGGGTATGGTTCCTAACAGTATGCTGCTCCGTATTTTCCTCCTTGAGGGACGGTTGACATGTGAGGTCTACCGAATGACGCCGTGCAGCTGCCTTGCCTGTCCTTCCAGCCTTCAGACGTAGAGAAATCCATTCCGAGAAGCTTGACACAAATCGCTGCTGCTTCTGCTGCTGCTGCTGCTGCTCTTCCTCCTCCTCCTCCTCCTGCTGTTGCTGCTGCTGCTGCTGCTGCTGCTGCTGCTGCTGCTGCTGCTTCTGCTGCTGCTGCTGCTGCTGCTGCTGCTGCTGCTGCTGCTGCTGCTGCTGCAGCTGCTGCTGCTGCTGCTGCTCTTTCTCCTCCTGCTGCTGCTGCTGCTGCTGCTGCTGCTTCTGCTCTTCCTCATGCTGTTGCTGCTGCTGCTGCTTCTGCTGCTGCTGCTGCTGCTTCTGCTGAAGCATCTTCCTCAAGTCCAACCACAGCCTTTGCTGCTCCTCCACCTCTCGCTGCTGCAGCAGTTGATGCGGGATTATTTTTCCGTACCTTCTAGGCGGCTTTTGAGGCGACTCATAAGGCATGTGCGTTCCAGCAAGCCCCCGTGGTTGCTCTTCAGGGCGATTCGGTAACCCTTGGACGTTAACCTTGGTTGCCATCACTTGTTGGTTCGCTGGTGCATGCAACACTGCCCTGTCCAGCTGTGCGGCTCCCATTGCCCCCCGATCATGTGAGCGTGATCGCCTCACCCTGTGCAGGAAGCGATTCGAATCTTCTTTGATAGAGCAGGTTGGGGTGAATGCAAGCCCAACCATATCAGGCGCACTGGAAACACCGGCAGCACCGGCAACACGAGCTTCACTGGCAACATTGTAATCAGCTGACATTGTGCTATGTCCACTACCCTCACTTGCACCAGCAGTAGATCTAACAATTAAAGGACCCACAGAACCCGAAGCACAAGCAACATCAGCACCACTTGCACTGCTCACACCTTCAGGGGTTGAAGCACTTACGACTGGTGGTTCCAGCGGGAAAGAGATGCTCTGGCTTCGAAACATAAGAGACACAGGATCGAGATGAGGCATGGACAAAGGAGGACTCGAAAACTTGGACCTTGTGTCATCTCTTTCCAAGTCCAGGGTGTGGCTCCCAAATGTCTGCTGCTCCATATTTTCGTCCTTGAGGGACGGTTGAGCTGTGAGGTCTGCAGAAGCACACTGTGCAGCTGCTTTGCCACTCCTTCCAGCCTTCAGGTGAAGAGAGTTGCATCGCGTGAAGCTTGACGCAAGGCGTTGCTGCTGCTGCTGCTGCTGCTGCTGCTTATGCTCTTGTTGGTCCATTAAATGCAATTTCTGCTGCAGCAGTGTCTGCAGATGCTGCTGCTGCTGCTGCTGCTGCTGCTGCTGCTGCTGCTGCTGCTGCTGCTGCTGCTGCTGCTGCTGCTGCTGCTGCTGCTGCTGCTGCTGCTGCTGCTGCTGCTGCTGCTGCTGCTGCTTCTTCTGCTGCTGCTGCTGCTGCTGCTGCTGCTGCTGCTGCTGCTGCTGCTGCTGCTGCTGCTGCTGCTGCTTATGCTTTTGTTGGTCCATTAAATGCAATTTCTGCTGCAGCAGTGTCTGCAGACGCTGCTGCTGCTGCTGCTGCTGCTGCTGCTGCTGCTGCTGCTGCTGCTGCTGCTGCTGCTGCTGCTGCTGCTGCTGCTGCTGCTGCTGCTGCTGCTGCACTTGTGAGAGATGGCTGTGAGGCAACTGATAGTGTTGATCCGCTGCCCCCATTCCTGTCACCGTTGCCACACAACCATGACGAGAAACAAGACCAGCAAAATGCTCAACTATTCTCGTCGTCATCTCCATCACACCCTCCTCCTCCTCCGTGCGAACTATATTGCTGCTCCCACTGTTTCCTTCCTCTGTAGAAATGTCCCCTTCCTCTGCTCCCTGCTTGCGTTCTCTAGCACAAACCCCACTCGCTCCAGCCTCATTTGCATCTTCAACCTTCACCAGCTGCTGAACAAACCGCTCCGCAACCGCATAGGACCGCTCCCCATCTGCTTCCATGCCCTTGAATCCCAACCCTTCAATCCTGAATGTACCTGCTCCTGGCACACCAAAGCCCAGCAACCCATTCCCAGAAATTCCAACACATGGTGAATTTCGCTGCGGGATAGAAAAGCGACCCATGGTATCACCACAAGGGGATGGTGCGGCAGCTGAGGTTTGCAGTACACCAGGATAAGACGGAAGCATGACATGGAGAGGAAGAGTGGCAAGTGCAGCTTCAGGGGAAGAGATAGCATGAAGGGTGGAGTGTGGGAAAGAGGAAGAGAGGTATTGGGAAGGGTAAACAGGAAGGGTGGATTGTAGGAATGAGGAAGAGGGGTAATGGGAAGCGGTGGCAGGAAGGGTGGAGTGTAGGAAAGAGGTAGATGTGGAGTAAGCAGAGGAAGCAGGAAGGCTGGAGTGTAAGAAAAAGGCCGGGGTCGAAGGGGCAAAGGCGGAAGAGAATGAGGTGGATGAGGCAGAGGAGAAAGGGCCGGTTCCGCTGGAGCTGCTGCGGCTGGCAGTGGAGCTTCTTTCAAGGGTGTATGCTGGTACTGCTATTGCCGACGCGTCTAATGCTACCCATACCTCTCCTACCCCTCTCCCTCCTCCCCCTCCTCCTCCTTCTCCTCCTCCTCCTCCTCCTCCTCCTCCTCCTCCTCCTCCTCCTCCTCCTCCTCCTCCTCCCCCCTCTCCTCCATCACCATCTCCCCCTCCTGCTGCTTCACCAACTGACGCAGAACCTACAGCCCCTGATTTTCCACCTAATTCTATTGCAGCCGTTGCCACTGCCCTACTTTTTCCCTCTCCAAACGATTTCTTTCTTACCGCATCCACTCCCACCGATCGCCCTTCCGCAGCATCTTCAACATCTGCGACTTCTTTCCCTTCCCCTCCAGAGCTCCTAGAACTGCCCTTTCCAACTTGTCCTTTGGATGCCCGAATCTTCGGCACTCTCGGGCCATGATTGTCACCAATATCACCTTCCTCCATTCCTGGGGCTTCCATCTGAACCGGTGCTTCTGGATCTGCAGGATTGGAACCCACTGCTCCCCTTTCCTGGAGAAACGCTTCAGGGAAGTTAAGCTTCGCCTTCGATCCTCGGATACCGAAAGCAGCTCTATCGAACGCCCGAGCCGCCTCTTCTGCGGAAGAAAACGTGCCCAACCATTTGCGGAATCCATGAGTCGTGTCCTTGATCTCAGCAACGTAGCCAGACGCCCCACGCTTCCTCACTCCTCGATACTTCCCATACTGGCTGTAATTTCTGTTGCGTGTCAATATGCGCCTAACTCCAGACTCTGATGGGCCTACACCAGCTGCAGTCTCACCTTGTGCTACTGCTTGCGGTAAGTATGACTGTAGCAGTGCTGTATGAGGCTGTGGCAACTGCTGTGGCATCTCCTGTTGTTGCATCTGCTGCTGTCGTGTCTGATTCTGTGGCATCGGCTGACCTTGCATCTTCTGTTGCATCTGTGGCCTTTCCATTTGCCGGTGCTGCCTCTGTTGCTGTTGCGTCTTCTGTGGTTGCATCTGCTGCTGTTGCATTTGTTTCTGTTTCATCCGCTTCTCTTCCATCTGCTGCTCCTTCATCTGCTCCTGCCTCTGCCCCTCTTTCATCTGCTGCTCGTTCATCTGCTCCTGTCTCTGCCGCGCTCTCGTCTGCTGCTCGTTCATCTGCTCCTGTCTCTGCCGCTCTCTCATCTGCTGCTCGTTCATCTGCTCCTGTCTCTGCCGCTCTCTCATCTGCTGCTCGTTCATCTGCTCCTGTCTGTGCCGCTCTCTCATCTGCTGCTCTTTCATCTGCTGTTGTCTCCTCTGCTTAGGCAACTGCTGCTGTTGTGGCATGATATTCTCTTGTTGCAACTGCTCTCGCTGGATTATCTGCCGTTGGAATCCTGATGCGTCCTCCTTTTCTCCAGCCTGCCTCTTTTCGTGTACATGAACATGTTCCATTGTGACTATACTGGTAGTAGTGCTAACTGCGAAAGGAGATGGAGGGGGTGGGATGGAGGGTTCGTGGGGGTTTGTTGCGGCTACTTACATGAATCTGTTTCTTTTTTAAGTATATGTTACATTCCTTGAGTCCTCAATCTGTATCTGTCCTCAAAATTTCAGATACGGCATCTCCGGATTCAGCAAGAACGGTAGAACGAGCTATCCAAGGAGTCAGAATGTTCACAGATCTGTAAAATGTTTTTGAAGGACGAAGTCTCTCACCGAGTCCTATCCAGGAAGTGTCCTTCTTTCAGAAAAGTATTCTTTTGATCATGGTGACCCAAATATGACCTAGCCGTATGCTAAGGACTTTGGTCCTCAGACTTGGACTTAAGAAGTAACATTTACGACAGGAGGTGAGATTCGGGGCTGAACAGTTTTTTATGATGAGTTGCTAAGCGCGTGTGTCTGACTCCGAGTCGAGCGTATTCTAATTTCGCAGCCTTTGGCAGGAAGAATTATCCTCGTTAATATTTCGTGATAGTCATGGTTGATCTGTTTGTTAGTACCTGGCAACACCCATGCGGTTCCGTGCGTCTCCTACGACAGGAGCTTTGTCTAGAACGAAGTGCTAGTAGAGTTTAAACTGCAGTAGTAATGGCAGAACTTCTGCAGTTTAAACTACTGCAGCCTTGGCAGGAAGATCGGATAGGTCGCTCCGCTGGAGTTTCACAGTATCATACTGTGAACGAGAGCTTTGTGTGGGAATTGAGCAGAACAGAAATGTGCTGTTCCTGTGGCTGTCCGTGTCTCTGCTCGTGTGCTGACCGCCCAGGGTTTCAAAGCTTCAGAAATCGGCTTTTGTGCTTAGGATTTTGATTACACGATGACAACGAATCCAATGTTTAGCTAACCATCAAGTGCCATCCGTTTGACAAAACAAGCAAACCCTGACCAAAAACAACACCAAACAAACAAACAAAACAAAACCGACGGAGCAGTGATCACAGCATGTGTGAAACCTGTGGGGTTTCTTCGATGTGTTGTGCCCATTTGCTGCATTATCTCAAGGCGTGTGCTGTGTGCTGTGCAGTCGTACATTCGCTCCTCAGGCATGTTGTGACTATGACGAAGGCATGGAGGGCTTCTCTTCTCACCCTTCCTCCTTATCAAAAAATTCTGGCTGGAATTTTTTCGTCGATTTGATTGGTCACCTAGTTCCACGTGTTGCGCACGGTTGTGGCGTGATGTTCATGCACAGTTCTCAAGCTCCACCCACAGTCAGACCTTGTGGGACCTTGTTCGGCACTTATGATAATGCCGCCACAAGGTCTGTCCCCATCCATAAAGTAACCGCTCGCAATCAATTGTCGGACTTGAACTGCCGGGCTTTCCAAACCTGACAACACACGACCTGCCAGACTGGCAGGTGTAACAAAAGCATTCGATCCGTTTTCTGGGCTAGTTTCGCATAACCCTAGGGTGTGTGCTAGGGTCGGGTCTGTCCTAGATTCGTCACGGACTGGTTCGGGACTGGATCCAGATTTCACTCACACACCCCCACCGTGGGAGTACTCGAAGCAGTTGGATATGGGCTGTTGATCTGGCTTTTGCTAAAACGACCTGCAACCAACTTTCACTTAGCAAAAGGGCCAGGCTTGGCAGCTTCCACGATACACAGTATGCAGGGCTCCTTTCCGGTCCTTGCAGGGCGCCTTGCAGGGCGCCGACGCAGCAAATACTGGGCCCAGGTCATGGACACACTTGTAAGTTCTGAGGTCAGTGCCGAACAATGGTGATTGTCGAAACCAAATTTCGGGACACCCACACGTCGCACATCGAATCAGAGCTTCTACACTGCACATAGGGCGGAATAAACAGTACACTGCACATAGTCGAGAGAATACTGTATCCCTCCATGTGCACACGCACTGTAGGAACGTTCGTCCCATCTGGTGCACAAACACACCAACCCACCCATCTCGTGAAAGGAGGCGCATCATTGCGTCGTTGCACAAGGACACCTGAACAACAAGCACCTGGCTTACAGTACTACAGCTGGATTAGCTGAAACAATCACTGTTTCAAAGCAGTGTACTGTAATTTCCTGCCACTGCCCAAAAACACTGCTAAGGGTTTGGTGTTTCCGGATTTCGAGGGATCGATTACCGTATAGGGCAGCGGAATACACCAGATGCCCGTTACAGACCCACAGGGTTACTCGTCATTTTCGGACTGTAATGAGCGCTGCTTTTCGCGAGCGTTCGTTCATTTCGCCAACGGAAAAATGGGACTGTAAAAAAACCGAGGAGTAACACGTTAGATATTTTCGGAACAGTGTGGGTGGGCATTATTTGTTGTATGTCGATTGTTTGGGTGACTAGGCCCATTTTTTTTTCTACACGTGAACATTCTGACGAACTGCCTTCCATGATCAACATTTTGACGAACCGCCTTCCTGTTGAAGGAAGTTGGCCCCGCCCTCGCTGGGGCAAAACTGACTTCGTGGCCGGGTGTGTGGGAGATGCAGCCGACCCTCTGCGCGAGATCTGGAGCTTCTGCACATGTTGGGTTGCCTGTACACGAGGTGTACTAGGGAACCCATGCAAGAGTAACTGAAGCATCCGCGAGTGCAACGCAAACGTCTCGTGCACATGTGCGAGCTGGTGCAGAGGTTCGCGGGTGTTCATCTGCGCAGGGTCGCGTCTGACCCTGCGCACCCTCGCGAATGCACTGGCGAATTTTGGCTAGAAATTCGAATGTGCCCTAATTTCGACCAATGAGGAGCTGGAATTTCGAAATGTCGACCGAGGTGGTCGACGAAGGTGGTCGACGAAGTTCGTCGACCCGCGACGACGAAGGTCGTCGACCGCGACGACGAGGGTCGTCAACCGCGATGACGAGGGTCGTCAACCGCGACGACGAGGGTCGTCAACCGATGATGACGAATGTCATCGACCTGCAGGGTTACCTGCTCGACGAGGTTCTGCGGAGGTGCGCGAACGTCGTCGAGGCTGCTGTGGCGAAGTCGACCGACGTGGCTCATCAGGTGCAACTGTCTGCATGTGGCCGACCTGGCACCTGCGCAATGTGCGCGACAGTGCACGTCGTACGTAACTGTCTACAAGCACCTGCAAAGTAGGTGCTTACACATGCGCTTACAATCACCTGCGGATGCAGCGCTGGCAAGCCGCGCGGGTGCAGCGTTGGCAAGCCGCGCGGGTGCAGCGTTGGCAAGCCGCGCAAGTGCATCGTTGGCAGGCCGCCATTCTGCAGCGTTGGCAAGCCGTGCACGAGCTGCGTTGGCGGGCCGCAGACTTGCTACGTTGGCAGGTCGACGACTTTGTCGTGCTGGCGGTCGACCTGCCTGTGCACTAGCAAACCCTGCATCTGATGTAGTCAATCTTTGCCATTGCTTATTCATTCTGAACTCTGTATTCTCAACTTCCATAGTGAAACTCTTGCTGTTTTGCCCTGTGAACACACAAGTCATAGAGAACACAGACAGAGCTACGATCACTCTTACAACCCGTGCCAACCCAATAGTCTAGCTCCCACCGTTGTAGAGTTTATCTCCGCATGGTGCTGTGAGCGTGGACGGCCCCGCAAGGATACCTTCAGATTAGTAGCCGACGTATCACTTACCTAAGTCGTTCGTAGGCCGGCAACCCGTGCAAACCATGACGCCTACCCTGGCAGCGGCCGGTGCGGTAGAGAACACCTTGGAGGCACGTTTGGCTAATGCGACGAGACGCCATGGAGATGGCGAGCTCGGGCCGGTGCTCCCCTTGGAGGTGGTTCTCCTGGGGATCCGTGCGCAGTGGGCGACGGAACACCCTTCCCGATCTGCATCTCCTCGACCGGTACGCAACGAAGGAGGTGTCGACGAGGAGGTCGACGGCGGTGACCAAGTCGGCGGCAGCGAGGGCACGAGGAAGATAGGAGTAATCAGGTCCGCCGACAATGGCGTCGGCGGGAATCAGGCGCGAGTGCAGCGGTCGACGGCGGCCGCAGGCAGCTCTCCCCAGCGCAGCAGTGGGAGGCCCACGTCGTCGATGCATGTGACGACGGGCGGGATCGCTCCGGCGTATAGCTACTTTAAATTCTCGCCGGACAAGATCGACGTGCCAGTGCCGCTGCAAGGTCGACGGGACCTCATCACGTGGAAGGAGGCTATTGAGCCTCAGCTGGAGATCGCCGGGCTGAAGGGTTTCGCCGACGGCACCGTGCCGATTCCGCACGAGGACGAGGTCGAGCTGCGCGGGGAGTTTTGTGCCGCTCACCTGCTCACCTTCATGGTCATCTCGAGGTGCTGCTCGCCGATGGTGCAGATTGCGCTGAAGCCGTGTCGACTTCGACTGGACGCAGGCCACCAGGCGTGGCAGTTCATCATGTCGACCTACCAGGCGACGGACGACTTGTACATCGGCCAGCTTGAGGAGCAGCTGACACACCCCCGGATGGGCGAGCAGGAGTCGACGACGGACTACTGTAATCGTGCTCGACGACTTATGGCCGAGATGCGGATGGTGGGCGTCAAATACGCTACGGCGTCGTACATCACGCACGTCGTCAAGGGAATGCCAAGTAGCTACAACCTCATGAAGAGGCTGATGGTTGTACCCGGCACGCGTGAGTCGCTCGACGAGGAGTCCCTCACCAGCTACATCATCCGAGATGAGGCGATGCAGGAGGCAGATCGGCCCACGGAGCTCCTTCCGCAGGCGAGCTACGCCGCCCCGACGAAGCAAGATCGCCAGCCGGGGCAGCGTGGAAAGTGTGGCGGAGGTGGTAGCGGAGGTGGGAGGCCGGCGAAGGACGCCGACCGGACGAAATCAACTCGTGACAGTGGTCGTGGCAGCGGTGGTCGACGGCGCGAGTGCTGGGT